GGGGAGAAGGGTGCAACAATGAATGAATGGAATCCCAAAATCTCTGTAGATGTTCATTGAAATGAAAAATAAATAACCTAAATTAAAAAAAAAAAAAGAAATTGCACTGCAATTCCAAAGGCATGTGATTCCAATCCATCAGCTGCTCCAACAGAGAACAATGGGCAAGCTCCTCCCTTGTGATTTACTGCCTCTTAAAACTCATTGGAGGGTCAGCTACAGGTTGGTTCAGACACTATGGTACTCAACAACAACAACAATGGGAACACGGAGTATGAAGCATTCCTGCCTCTAGATTAAAGTAGGATCCAGAGTATTGAAAAAAAAAAAAACCAAAAACAAACAAACAAAAAAAAAACAATGACTAGATCCCATGGCTTGATAGTATTGGCCTGTGCTGATTTAAGCTGTTAACAAAGACAGATATTGACTTAAGCCTGTTTTTTTGCTTTGCTGGTGGCCGCATCTGGGATAGCAGTGATTCTCTTTGCTATGCAGCTGAGGTTGCATGGAAAGGCAGTACATAGAGTCAGAAAGGCTGGGGAGCACACGTGTATAACTTGGAGGTTGAATCGTGTTCGCCGCCCCTACCCTGTTTCAGGGCTCCAGCCGCTCTTCGGACGGCATTCTGTGCCTCACCGCTGGCAGCATTAGAGGAGAGTGAAAAAGTGCCCAGGGAGCAGTGCACATCTGTCTGACGGGGGACTAGCCTGTGAACACACTTTCCTGTCAAGCTAGGGGACCCAGGGACACCTCCATATCACGGAGCAGACAAAGACTGCTGACGAGAACTCTTTTGCACCAATACTCTGACCTCCTTAGGGTCCTCCCTGGGGCACCCCTGGTCAGTGGTGTGAGATGGTGCCCAGTGGAAATGATGCCCTACCAGCCCGAGTAGTGGTGGTTCACAGTTAGAAACCACAGATGTGAAAAAACAAAACCACCCCACCATCCAGTGGAGCGTGACTCCGGTGACCCTCCAGCAGGCCTGCTGGGCTGTAGAACTTTACTAGATAAACTCCTCATCTTTCGCCAGCAGCTGGTGGACTTGAACCATCAACCTTTCAATCAGTGTCCCAATCCATTTGCTCTGTGCCACTAGGGCTCATTTCTAGATGCAGAAGACATTAATGTGACTTCATTTTATTTACGTATTACGTTATTTTCATTTATAGCTGAACATTTTGCACTTCTTGAACTTACCAATTGTTTTCATTTTTAATACTTGATTTTTTTTGTTTGTTTTGCAGAAACTTTGGTGTTTCTTTGTGTTCAGGTCTGTGTGATTTCGGGGGGATCATAGCCCCGTTTCTGCTCTTTCGGCTTGCAGCTATTTGGCTAGAACTACCTCTTATCATCTTTGGTAAGGACTTTTTTGGTATGCTATTCTTAACCCTTCCCTCTTCGTTCTTCACGTGAATAGAAAATCTACATTGAGTTTGACATTAATGATGCCCATTTACTCTTTTAAACACAACTTTTTTGAGTTTGAGGACCCAGTCGGATGACAATGAAGTGGAGACTTCAAAATGACTTTAGTAAACTCTCCAGTTAAAGGTTAAGATGAGCAATGTCCCACATGACCTTCTCCAGTTAGATGCTGAATCAAAATCGAACACTGCTGAAAGTCTGCTATAGGATCAGGGGACAGGACCAGTCATTTTCATGGGGTCAAATTGAACCTTCACTATATTTAAAAATAGGAAAACAAATTATGTTTTTCCATGTTGTTTATCAATAATCTATACTAATTTGCCGTGGTGCTAAAAAGTGTAGTGCTGACAGAATTGAAGTTATTGAATTACTTATAAATCTACTATAACCTCAAGATCATCCCCTCCTTCCTGCCCGTTGAGGGATAGAAGCGTAGTTTGGGAAACAACTTTCTCGTTCTCAGGCGCTGGTCCAGCCTCCTGCTGGATTTCACTTCCTCCTCTCCCCACCTCACCATAAAGGAGAGACTTGCCTCTTCCCTATTCTACCTCCCCCCCACCCCGATCCATTTCCTGATCCAAGAAGGAAACCTTTTCGTTTGTTGCTCAGAAGTTAAATATGAATAACAATATTGAGCCCGTGAAGACACACTTCTCAATTAATGCAAAAATCCTTTGGCATTAATGGGGACAGTATGTCACCATCCAACCATCTGACCCCACTGCAAAAATAAATGAATGAATGAATGAATAAATAAATAAATAAATTTAGTCCTTCCTTCCTTCCTTTCTTTCTTTCTTCCTTCCTTCCTTTCTTTCTTTCCTTCCTTCCTTCTTTCTTTCCTTCTTTCTTTCTTTTCTTCTTTCTTTCTTTCTTTCTTTCTTTCTTTCTAGCTGTTTAATGGGCTTTGGTGCTGAAGCTCAATGCTAACGGTGCTTTGGTTCAGCAGAGAATGAGGTAGTCCAGAAATGGTGATCCAGGCAAAACCCAATGAGAGCAGGGCGTGGTGGGATGTGACTGTTACCAGCTCACCAGGGACAGTTGCTACATTTGCTAGAATTTTGTGAGCCATGTGTTAAACGCAGTCATTATTGAAAATCGAGGCAAAGACAGGCTTTGCAGAAAAAGCCCGGCAATGTGTTTCCAATATTCAATCAGTGGAAACTTGATGGATCCCAAGCCCACACACTCATCAGAGGATGGCTTGGAAACAGGCAACACTTACTAGAATTCATGGGTTTGAGGTTACATATTTGTGTGTGTGTTCGTGATACAGTGTTGAGCTGTATCTGAAAGATCAGTAGTTCGAAACTACCAACCGCTCCACGGAGAAAACACGTGGTGACGTGTCCCCATCAGACTTCCTAGGTGGTAACTAAAGGAAACGGAAGCCCCCTTTCTTCCCACTAGTGGTTTAGTGGCCCTGAGTCCCTGGCCTTTCGCTCTCACTATAGCGAGAGCCCTGGAGAGACAGGCCCAGGGCAGAGATTGTCCTGGGGCCAAGCTTTCAGTAACATCACAGAAGGAGGGAGGAAGTGAGGGAGCACTTAGGGTTAGTGTCTGGAAGAGGAAGTCCAGCAGGCTCTTCACTGGCTTCCATTTCTGTTTCTGGTTTCCCAGTGAGGTAGGTGTTGTTGTTGTTGTTATGTGCTGTCGAGTCGCCTGCGACTCATAGCAACCCTATGTACAACAGCCCTAAACTCCGCTCTGTCCTGTGCCAATCGCACTGTCTCTGACACTCCCATCCCAATTATCCCAGTCACTGAATCAATCCACCTCATAGAGGGCCTTCCTCTCCTGCGCTGTCCCTCCACCCTCCCAAGCATGATGCCCCTCTCTAAGGACCGGTCTCTCCTCACAACATGTCCAAAGTATGTTAGACAGAGCCTCAGAATCCTTGCCTCCAAGGAGCCACCCGGTTTAACCCTTTCCAGGACAAATCTGTTTGTTTTCCTAGCAGTCCATGGTATTCTCAATACTCTTCTCCAGCACCACAGCTCAAAGGCATCAATTCTCCTTCTATCCTCCCTGGTCATTGTCCAACTCTCTGATGCATAACAAGTGATTGCAAAGACCATGGCCTGTATCAGATGCACCTTAGTCTCCAAAGAGACACCATTGCTCTTCAGCACTTTGGAGAGGTCCCTAACAGCAGACTTTCCCATGGCAATGCGCCTTTTAATTTCCTGGCTGCTGGTGCCAAGACTGTTGACTATGGAGTCAAGCAAACTAAAGCTGTGTACAATCTCAATCTCTTCACCATCCATCCTGATGCTGCCAATTGGTCCAGTGGTGAGAATCTTTGTCTTCTTGACATTGAGCCTCAATTCATATTGTAGGCTGCAGTCCTTGACACTCTGCAGCAGGCGCTTCAGGTCCTCCTCAGTTTCAGCAAGCAGGGTTGTGAGGGGAAATCTCTGTAGTTCCCTTTTGAATATTTGGTAACCAAGTGAAGGAATGAGTGAGTGCTGGCAGTGTGGGGCGATGGCGCTGCCTGAGGTCTGGGGAAGGAAGGGCACACTGGATTTCATGGCACTGGAGAACTGAGAGGTGTGGACAGAGGACTGTGGGTGACTAGAGGTGAGGGAGCAGGGCCCTTCGGGGTCAGGTGGGGGAGCAGGGGAGAAGTGTCCCTGCTCCAGCTCTCTGATGCTCTTCCTGTTCCTCAGGGATCCTGGCTTCTTTCTGCGGGGGCCTTGTGATGCTTCTGCCTGAAACCAAGGGGATTGCTTTGCCAGAAACGGTGGATGATGTAGAAAAACTTGGCAGGTATTGTCCAAAATCCAACACTCTCTAAGTAGAAACCGTTGGGGAAACGATGGCATGTGGAAAGCTGATTATCCTTGGGGAGGGGGAAGTAGCATGGAATCCCACCTCTCATCTAAACAAGGAATTCAGAGTAGATTAAGGGTTGAGGTAAGAAGAGGAAGACAGAACTAAACAGTAAACGGATACACGTTCTTTTTTTTAAAATTCTGTTCTGGAGAGGGATGCATTTATAACGTTCTTATTAAAACTCAGAAGCAACCCCCAAGGAAGACTGAGGGTCATAGAAATTGTGTGAATGCACACCAGTAAAGAACTGACTGGAAAAATGGTAACATGCTAATAATCTAAATGACTTAGACAGTGGTCAGAAGAGTTGGGCAGAGATCGGTGGTGATTGCTCTTCTGAAACACCACGTATGGGTATGATCCGTATGAAGCGTAATGTGAATGGTCATATGAAACACAATGGGAAAGAAAGACTAGGTGAAACCAATGTATATGAATGAAACAGAATGTATATGAATTTTAATATGCTATAAAATGAAATAAAATAAATCTATGGTAAGAAAGGAAAGAAAGAAAGAATTGAGGCAAAGCTGTATATAATGGCCAACTATGAATTGATTCCAACTTGACGATACACGACAATAAGACAATGACATGAAAGGTTTCAGTTTGATGTAGGGAAAAAGGCCAGTGGAGTTTGCATTATTTTTTCCTTAACTTTTTTTTATTTTATTATTTTGTGTGTGTGTGTACCGTCAAATCAGATCTGATTGATACAGGAGGAGATTGCCCCTCCTTCTCCAGCAGAGCATCTGGTGGATTCGAACCGTGTACCTCTGGGATTGCAGTGCAGCTGCTTGCCCCTAGGCCACCAGAGCTCCCTGGAATTTGCATTCTTTTTTAAGATGAAAGTGAGCCATAGTAAAACCTTCTGTGTCTGGGTAGAAAAATAGATGCCAGTCAATGATAGAGATGGATGGAGGGATCTGGATTTAGAACTGGATAGAAAGAAAGGCAGGGAGCATGAGAGGGAGGGAGAAAAAGGAGACATGAAGGAGTGAAGGCCGGCAGATGAGAGATTGGTCTTTACAGGCAGAGGGGCGAGTAGGTCAAACCTCCCGGCAGCAGAACGATGAGGCCGTCGTCTTGACAGCTTCAGAAGCGCGTAGAGCAGGTCTCTGTCCTCTCTGTTCACTGTGACTCAGAACCCCTTTCAACAGCCCTGAGTGATTGGGTAGATAGTTACCGTTATTGTTATGTGCCGTCCAGTCAGAACCAAGTCCCAGTTGACCCTCCAGCAGGTTTTCAGAGGCAGCAAATCACATGGGTGAAGATTGGGTAGGTAGGTAGTTGATAAACAAATTAGTCAAAAAGAGAAAACCTTCCAAGACATCGTATGGCCTTTTGTCTTTTTTCTCTCTCTCCCCTTTTCTCTCTTTTATAATTATTATTATTAATTTTAATGAAAATTTACAGAGATTTTGGATTTCCATTCATTCATTGTTGCACTTTTCTCCTTGCCCACCCCTCTCCTCCGGTTCATTCTTCTCTTTGAAAAGTAAAAGAAAAATTCTTTCATTGTTATACAGTTCCTCCCCCAAGGTCCACTGCACTGTGCAGCCTTCATTCTGGACTCCTGTCATGACAGTAATACCTAATCATATCTTCCTTTTAAACAGTTTTCTCCCTCATCTATTTCAATGTCGTATACATTATTTATCCCACCTTTCTCAGTCTCCCCGAACACCGATGTCAGTCTTGTTTTACAACAGTGACACTATGCAGTATTTGTCCTTTTGTGACTGAGATATTTCACTCAGCATAATGTCCTCCAGAGTCACCCAATTTTTATAATATTTCATGAGTTCCTTGTTTTTGAATGCAGCGTAGTGTTCTGTTGTGTGAATAGACCACAGCTTCTCTATCCATTCGTTTGTTGATCGTATGGTCTTTCGTAATGATTGTCTTAATTCTTGTCTTTGTTCTCTTAGTCCATACTCCTATAAATGTGGCAAGAAAACCAAAAGCCAGGTTTCCAGTTCCCACCAGTGAGGCACCTGCCAAAGAGCGATCAGGCCCTCCCGGGACTCGCCCTCCCTGCAAAGCCCGGCCTGGCCGAGCTGCGAGCGTCTGTCTCCACCACGGCGCCGCGTGGTTCCAAGTGTCCTTCCTCCTCCTTGGGATATCCCAATGCTCCAGTGGACTCTCATATCGTGTTGGATGAACTCCGATGTGTAATTCTATGGACATGTCTGCGAACCCATTCTCGTTGGTGGCTTCGGGTCAGCCGTCTCTGTCCCACTGGGGTCAGAAGAGATGAATGAATCCTCTCAGTTGGTCCCCACAGGGCGTCACCAGGATGGCAAAATGTACCAGCAGTGGCCTGAGAAAGGTGTCTCCGTGTGTACGCTTGTTAGGTCTGCTGCAGGGCTGACTCCACCTGGAACCTTCTGCAGATGCCACAAAGGATGAGGACATGAGAATCCTTCGAAGGAAGAGAGGAGTTAACCTCAGGACCTTGGTTGTGCTTTTTCTCGAAGTTTCTGTGACGTTGGCTTATCAGCCTCCTGCCTTTTTGGAAGCACCGGGGGCTCCAGGCACAGCGTAGCCATTGCTCCGTCAGTAAAAACAGACGGTGCAATGTGAGGGGTGGCTCTGCTCTTTGTAAAATCCGACTTTTTGACTGGATTGAGAATTGCTTTGATTCTCCTTTGGTGACCACATAGAGTCCATTGCAGTATTTTACCAGCCAAAACCCAGCGCCCTGGGAATTAACACTTAAACCGCAGAGGCATGTTTATTTTTATGGACTCTGCCTCTAAAGGTACCCACTGGCCCAAAAGGAGATGCCCAGAGTTCTCAGCCCACCTTAGGTCCTGCCGTGTGCCTTGGAGAGGAGCTTACATTTTACTTAAAGGAAACCTCAGTGACAGCCATGCTGAAAACAGTTGGCAGGAGCTTTGTAAAAACTCGCGGGCCATCAGGTCAATTGCCAGCCACGGTGACCTGCAGGATGGAGCGGAGAAGCCCAGCTCTCCCTGATAACGGATTGGTGTTTCTTTTTTGTTACTGAGGCTTTTGAAATGTGGAGCAGAAGCACAAATAGGCTGTTTCCTCTAGTGTTCTGCTCTGAATTTATTTGTTATATTTTCAGATCCAGTACATATATAGGATGCTTTAATGACTTATTAGGGGGCGGGGGAACAGGCGTAATAGGAGCCTAAGGGAAATCTTCCCAGTGAGGGTGCCAGTTTCTCTGTGAGGGGATATGGGACAATATATATCGTGTGTGCTAACTCTCAAATAAGCTTCCGAATTCTTCAAGCACAAGAGAACTGAGTAGGAATGCTGCCTTCCACGTGACATAAACATGGACTTGAGGCTTGAATGCCGTGGTCACCCTGTCCTCACGGAGAGTTGCATTTTTTTAAATTTTTTTTTCTTTCTTTGCATTATTTTCTGCTTTAAGTTGACCCTTACTCCTTGCTATTATCATCTTTGAATTGTATTTGGACGTCATATATTGGTTCCAAACACAATAAAAAAATGAGTTTAAGCTGCAAGAAAGCCCCACAGGTATCCTTTCTGTCTTTGTTGGGTGTGTGTTGCTTTGGAACACTGTTCCCAGCAGACAGTGTATCCTGTTGACTGCACAAAGCAAACAAGCCACGGGCAGTCAGCCTTCGTGATTTGTCTCATGCCCCTCCTCAGGCTTTTGGCATCATTTCTAGACTCATCTACCCCAGAATCTGACCCAGGATAACATTCCAACTGGTAGCCTGCTCTTACGTTACATTTCAGTTCCCAACAGACGGTTCTCCGCTCGGTGTCCCCTGGGCTGGGCTCAAGTCAAATCATCAGGAACAGACTTCAGACCCAAGAACAGAACCAGCAGTCATGACTCCCCTGCATGTCTTAGCTTTGAAAACACTCATCACAGTGCCAGCAATAAAGATATTGAAGCTCTTTATCAAAGGCAAGGTGCACAGATGGGGGTGGGCAAAAGGGACCCAAGGCCACACATACTTTGGCAGGTGGCAGCTCACCATTCCTAATTGTCTACACTGTGAATACATTCCTGTATCTGGTGGAGACAGTACCAGTGCGCTTTTTGATCATAAACACCCTGAGAGAATGAGTTGCTGGGCCTGAGGCCTTGGGACCATCATCATCTTGAAGAACATAAAAGTCACCTGGGATAGCGTTGCACAGAGACTGTGCTCTGTATTTGGTGAGTTGCATGGTACAGACACCTAAGGTGCAATTATTGGTCTTTCTTTGTCCAGAAAAAAGAAGGCAGATGCAAAGCAAAGATATACTAAAACAGTCCAGGGGACTAGCAGACCTCAGCTTCCACAGCCCTGTGATAAACGAGATGGTGTCTGGATGCCATTGTCACCACTCTCAAAGGGTCACTCTAGAAGGTCCAGGGTGGAGTGAAAGGAGGTGCAGAATAAAACTCAAGGCCAGACCTACTGGTCCACTAGAGATTGGTGGGCTCCCCAAGACTGTGCCCCCAGGTACTTCCTGGATCAAACCATCAGCTAACCAGCAGACAAGCAGATAAGGTGGCCAAGGTCATCTATCTTGGAGCAAGGGCAACCAGAATGGAGGCAAGGATGGCCCAGCTTCACCTCACATGCTCTGGGAGTGTTTGGAGGGGTTAGTCTTTGGAGAAGGATGTCGTGCTTACAAAGGTGAAGAGTCCATGAAGGAGAGAGAGACCACAGTGAGAGGAATTGTCACAGTGATTGTACCTGTAGTTGAAGTGTGTCAGAGATGATGAAGAGGCAGAAGATAGGACAGGGCCCAGGTCCATTGTTCATAGGATCACTGTGAGTTGTACTTGATGGTACCTAACAGCAACAACAACAGCACAAGGTGACCAGTAACAGCAGAGAGACACTCACTCCTTAGAATGACCACCCACATTAGAGCAAGAGCGCAGCCTTTTCCCCAAGAATCAAGCCCTGAAAACAGGGAGGGATTCGTGAAAATGAAAACTACCAGGAGGAAGTGTAAAAGTAAGGTTATATTGTGCTAGTTGTAAATAATCTTAGAGAACAAAATGTGTGTGAGTGGTTAAATGGAAACCCAAGTTGAGGCTTACATTTTCACTCAAATTAAAATTAAAAAAAGATACACGTCAACCCCTCGCCCACTGACAAGGTAAATACACCAGGAGACACCGCTGGGCTCTCTGCTTTCTGGTTTAGAGACTTAGTAGTCCTTGATACAATTTCTCATGGAAAAGAGCCAGTTCACTGGAGTTTGTTAGAGCTACACTCTGCAAAATTGGCCACAGTGGAGGAGAGGATGAACAAAGAGTGGGAAAATGTTGAGGATCTGAGAAAAAAAAATGAACTCAAGTCAAGGTAAGTACAGTTTATTCTCAACAGATGTCACAGCTGTGCCGCCTTCTTCACGGCCCCGTGCACAGGAACATTTATCCACAGCAATATCAAAAAACGTCAAGGCTTGGCAGTCAGCGGCGGTTAAGGACAGTGTCTTAGTTTGATTCCTGTTGATTAGTTCTGAGCATGTTGAATTCCCTACCAGGTTCGTTTTCCAGATAAAGTTGGAGCTCACTCTGTCTTCTGTCCAGTTAATTTTTCTTCATTATATCCTCGATCCAAGACACAAATCTTGAAACACGTACATAAACACCAGGCTTGTTGGGCCGTGCGCAGCCAAGACCCCAGGAAGTCACTCCTTGTAAAACATATTTGTCTTTCTCGAAGCAAACCAGAGGTCCCCCACTGTCGCCCTGTACAGAGGAGGAGTGGAGAAGAGTTAACAGGTTCCGACCTAGGACAGGTACCTCCCACGTGACTGCAGAACATTCTCTTGTGATCATGGGGGTCTCACTGGCAGGTTTTCCTAAGTACATTACCAGGCTTTCCCTCCTAATTTTGTCTTCCTCTGGAAGCTCTGCTTTGTGTTATAGGATGTCATCTTCTAATTATCCAAATGCAAGGTTTCCCAGTATTTGAACATTCTTTGCAATCAGAACGTGGCTTATTAACAAGATTTGTGCATCTGCTATGTCTCTTCAGGAAAACCACACCAGTTAGCATTTTCTGGGGAGCAACCCCCCTCCCTTGTGACTGCTATCTATGTCCTTTCCTTTCTCAGCGTTCTCGGGGGCAGGGATAACCTCCTGCCCTGTTGTAAGACACATGTAATTGGTCTTCGTCCTAAATACCTTCCCAACTTCCCCAGTGGAAAGGCCAGTGCCCTGGTCCTGTTCACCAGCCTGTCTCAGGAAGCACGTGGACTGTGGTGGTGACAGAAGCTTACTACTCCCTTACTACTGGTCTAGGCTACTGTCCCTCTGTTTGTCCTTTATGTTGTTTGAAGGTGGGCTCCCGGTATTTAAAATGCCCATCAGGTCACCCATGGTAGATAGATTCCAGCAGAGCTTCTAGAAGTAGAAAAATGTAGGAAGAAAGATCTGCCCGTCTGCTTCTTCAAGTGTCTTTCATGTTTGTTAGCTAGGTGCCTGGGTCTCCTCCAGCTCAGCGATTCTTCCGACTGAAATTCGCCTGGCCCTTCTCTGCCCTCGCAGCCTCCGTTATGTGTGAGCCCGCTGTGGCAGCCACGTGCCAGTACATCTCATGGGGGACCTTCTCAGCTGACCCTCTACCTGTCCAAGCCCAAGGTCCCTTTTCAAGGACTCTTCTCTCCTGATAACATGCCCAATGGATGCGAGGGAAAGTCTCACTATCCTTGCCTTTAAGGACCACATTTCTCCCGAGAGTCAGACCGAGGACTGTGGGGGCATACAGCAGC